ATTCTTACCATGTGGCTGGCGTGGATACAGTGCGGAGCGAGTGCACTTGCACGTGTGTTCTTACGATTTGGCTGGCATGGATACAGTGCTGAGCGCACTTGAACGGGTGTTCTTACCATTTGGCTGGCATGGATACAGTGCCGAGCGAGTGCACTTGAACGGATGTTCTTGACAAGAACATGCTGGTATTTGCGGTGTTTTCAGCGTGTGCTGCACGGAAGGACGGGAAGGCGCCAGAACGCCGCAAATACCAGCGTTTCTTGCGCGCGAAGCTGAAAACGCTGCGATTTGCAGTGTTTTGTGACGACGCAGAGCGCGGCGTTATCTCGCTTCGGGAACAACAACAACGACAACAACAACAACAACAACAACAACAACAACAACAACAACAACAACAACAACAACAACAGCAGCAGCAGCAGCAGCAGCAGCAGCAGCAGCAGCAGCAGCAGCAGCAGCAGGCAGCAGCAGCAGCAGCAGCAGCAGCAGCAGCAGCAGCAGCAGCACCGGCAACAACAACAACAACAACCTGGCAGCAGCAGCAGCAGCGGCGGCAGCGGCGGCAGCGGCAGCGGCAGCGGCAGCGGCAACGGCAACAGCGGCAACAGCGGCAACAGCAACCGCAACAACAACCACAAGGGCAACAACCGCAACCACCACAACCACCGCAACCGCCGCAACAACCGCAACAACCGCAACCGCAACAACCGTCGCATGTTTTTTTACAACGCGCAAGCCACAATCGCTGAGCGCAGAAATCCTACGTGCAGATTCTGAGCAAAAACGGATTGCGACGCCCTTGCAGCACATGCATTGAGCATGCTCAATCCTAGGTTCCGGATCTGAGGCGTTGCGTGCATGTCGAGAGTGTAGAACCTCGGCAACCTGCTTGTAGCCATGCTGGTAATTAATGCGTTTAGCGAAGAAGCCCTGAGCCGCGCTACGAGTCCCACTGGCAACCTGGGCCGCGTTGCAGGTGTGGCTTATAATTCTCATGACAAGTAGCAAAAATATCATCCGCTCTGCAGTTGGCGCTCTTCACCGTGTCCGCATGTGCGTTTTGCCTGGCGGCGCAGGTGGCGGCGGGGCGGTGGTGGTGGGGCGGTGGGGTGGTGGGGCGGAGCGGGGTGGGTGGCTGTGGTTTGGTGTGACGCGTGTGGTGTGTGGTGGCTGTGGTGGGGTGTGACGCGTGTGGTGGGTGGGGTGTGGGTGGGTGGTGGGTGTGGGTGGTGTGGGTGAAGGTGAGATGAATAATGTGGGCGGTGTGGGTGTGGTGGGTGTGGCGGGTGTGGCGGGTGTGGTGGGTGTGGTGGGTGTGGTGGCTGTGGTGGGGTGTGATGCGTGTGGTGGGTGTGGTGTGTGGGGGGGAGGGTGTGGTGGTGCATGTTGTACGAGTGGACGAGCGAGCGCACGAGTGGAAGTACGAATGCACGAGAGGGGGCATAAGTGGGTGTACGAGTTGGTACGCACAGGTCTGGGATTCCACATGCACAGAAATAACGTCGAATTTTTGAAAACAATGCCTTATTTTCTTCACACATCGGGCTTATTTCCGCGTGTGTGTACTTGCACGAGTCCCTACTCGTCCACTCGTACATCCACTGGCACGCCCGCCGGTGTTTCCGTCACCGCCGTCGCTGCTGTGGTTCCAGAAGCTGGTGTTGTTGTCGCTGCCGTCGTAGCTGTTCTTGTTTTTGTCGTTGGGGCTCTTGGTGTTGCTGGTGTTGCTGTTGCTTTGTTGCTGTAATGGGGGGGTTCGGATTGGTTCGTCATTTGGCTCGTCGTTAGATAGTGTCAGGTATAGTGTTCGTTGGCTGGTTACAAAGCTGCGCGCTACACGCCAGGCAGCAATTGCTATGCCATGAAGGGGCAATGTGGCTTGTGTGCTGCTTTCCTAGATTTCAATTTTCTTGGTCCTCAACTTCGCAGTATGCGTCCGATCGTCGAGCTTTCTCACACGGGCGCCCGCCAGCTGCTTTGGATCGCTTGTGCCCAATCGCGCCCTTGGCTGTCAGGTGTCATCGCAAGCAGCGCACGCAGCAGTCTCACTAGACACTTGCGATTAAAAAAGCGGGAGTCTTTTGTGCGCAAATGTTTGCCTTTTAAGTGTGGTTGCATTTATCCATGGGTCGCTGCAGCTCATTTTCATGTATGAGGCGTTGTGCCCAGATTTGCAAACCTAGGCCGGCAACTGTTTTGTCAGCAGGATTGAACCAGCAGATCGCCGTTTGTTCGGAGCCATTCGCCAACACAATTTCTCAAGCACTCTTGCAGGGTTCAAAAACTGCTGCAACAGAGTCTGAATCTATGGTTTGTATTTTTTGACATTGCACGCAAAGGATTTAGCTTGCGGCTGAATGACGCAGATATGTCGGGCGTTGCTTTCGCCAACCGGCGTTCAGCAGGTCAGTCAATCCTCATCAAAACGAGGCAACCGCTTGAAAGCGCGCTGGTAAGCCATGGCTGTCTGCCAGGCCTATGCTTCTCGAAAGTGAGAGCAGAAACTGTGCCACTGAGACCAGAGAGTCGGCCTGACAGGGAGCGCTGTCCGCGGGTTTGCTAGAGGCATGGCCGCATGCTGCAAGGATGTGCTTGTTTGTTTTCAAGCAATGATGTTTGCGAGTGCATGTTGAGCGTTGCGAGCTCTTGCAAGGCGTACATGGCTCGATTTGAGCTGAGCAAAGATCAGGCCGGTTTTGCTTGAACGTGGTGCAGGACATGACGCGAATTCGTGGAATTGAGGTGCTGGAGCAAAAGAAAGCATTCGACGTTATCGATTCAGATGGAAATGGGAAGATTACATTCCAAGAAGTTAAGGACAGTGCGATTGCTTGTGTTTTTTCAAGTTTGATGCAGCACACGGGCCGTGGCCAGGACATGAATGCAATGTTGGAGCAGCCGCTGTCGGATCAGGATGCCAACTTTTGGCAGACGGCAACAGACAACGCCATAGCCTTGTGTTTCAAAGGAGCTTACGGAGCAGTTTACTTCTCTTGATGTCGACGGCGCGATTCTCAGGATGGAAGCATGACAACATGTCAAGGGTTTATCGCAGCCGTGAGATTCGATGAGAAAGCCGTTTTCAGTTTTTGCGCCGCTGCTGTAAGGGTTGGCTGCGTGGCTCCGCAAACGTTTGTAAACCACGCGCGTTCGTTTGGCAACGTGTCGCGCCTTGTGTTTGTTGCTGTTCACACAGCCAATCAAGCATTGAATAGTGATTGCGCGCTTTAAGCTTATCTTCCAATGATTCTTTCCAATTCAAGAGCAATACCGATCATCGGACAAACCTTCTTTGTTTGCAGAGCATGCAATCAGAAGTGCAAACGCGATCGCTTCGACACACACACACACACCCACACACCCACACACCCACACACACACACACACACGCACACACACACACACACGCACACACGTGGGCCTTTCTTTTTCTTAGAAGTGTCAACAATTATGACCATGGAACTACTAAAGCCAAGCCCCCAACCGTCCATTGAACGTTTCGAAATAGGTGCAGGTTTGCCTGGTTCACACAACTTCATTGCAAGGTTCTATTCGAGAGCAACAAACATAATAGGCTGCCGCTGCTGCTGCTGTTGCTGCTGCTACCATTGCTACCTGCCATTGCTGCTGCAGATGATTCTGACAATGACAGGCATGACATGTATGACAACCAGTACGAACATGATGACCACACAATGTTGTGTCAGTGATTGATACTTGTAATGTAGTGGCAGCGTAGCAGACATCAGAGATATGATGCCAATACTGCGCACTGTGGCAATGGTGATCACAAGGACGTCGAACAGGAATACAGCTATGTGGAGTTGCATAATCTGGAAGCGGACTTGACACGCGTGTTTTTCACGCTGTCCATGTTAGCCTGAAGGCAACAACACGGTGACCTTTCCCGAGTTTCTGAAAGTCTATGTCAAGGGTGAGCGTTGGCCTCAAATACAACATTTGTTTCCAAGAAAGGCGTGCGGCACTTCCGAGGTTTGGTAGAGACGTGCCGTTGCCCAGTGTGGACGAGACTATCCAAGTTTTGGATCTTGCCTGAAACTCAATTCTTCGAGGTGTTTCCTGCAATTTGTGCTGAGTAAGGCTCCGAGCCGCGTGCGCACGCACAGCTGCACGTGACAGTCTCAATACTGCTAGAAGCCGAAGCGGCGCTCTAGGATGTGCAATGTAAGGTTGGATCCTATTGACGAATCTAAGATGGTGATGAAGTTGTCGCAAAAGAGCAGCGCGCAGCTTGGTCTCGCAGCTTGATATAGACCTCCATGAGCCACTCAAAGAGTCGCGTGACATGCAAACCATTCGTTGAGTTGAAGTCGCGTCATTGCAGCGACAGCAAGGTGCCAGCTACTATTTGCGGGTTGCCAAGCAGATGCTGGCCGCATCTGAGGTGCAGTCCATCCAGGGGTAGCGTAGCAACTTCAATGTGCAAGCACTCTTCGCTCTACCTCACGCGATAAATCCATGCAGCTGTGGAGAACAAAGCTAGTCGCGTAGACAACGATGGAGGAGACGCCTAGCGTGCTCGAGCTGAATGCTCTTGGATATGCAGAGCCCTCAAACCACATGCAGATGGCACACGCGCATCTCTAGATTTTCCCAGAGCTATATCTGGCCGAGGCCATTCCACATGCTTCTTTTGTGGTGCAAGCCTTGGATTCTGCAATGGCTCTGAAGATGATGTGCTGGAGGCATCGGCCTTGCAGGAGGAGAACCTGGCCAAGGTGCCGTTGACTGAACGAGAATACCGACATTCCACCACTCGTGCAGGTTCTCTCCATTCGCACGAGCTTGCGAGAGGCCGTTGCTTCCTTGTGTTGCCCATTTGGGCATCTCAAAATGCCCTCAGCCAGGTTCCAAACACTAGCAGACATTGCGCTTTGCTTAGCCGGAGATTCAACTTGCGCAGCCGCCAAGTTTTCAGGTCAATGTTCCGCCAGCTCATGCAAACTGGACACACAGAGCCAAGGTCCAGTCATGGTCATCCGTGTTGTCAAAACTGCGAGTTAGCGGCAGCCAGCCATGCGTACAGCGCTATGAGCCGAGCTCTATGCCGCTGGATGATGCAGTAGAGGTTGCTGGTAGACAGCGGCTTGGCAGCTGCTTTCACCTGAAATCCACCAAAGTGGACATTGAGGCAAATGCATATGCTATGAAAATTGTCATATGCTTTGCCAAGTTCAACAGGAGAATGCGTTGCGAGTGACAGACGTTGGCCAGGTTTGCCCGTTCTGGATCGCAGCCGCTTCCAGCAGCAACATGGTCTAGAACGAATATTGCAGCATCTGCAAGGACGCAGAAAATCAGACTTTAGGCAGTCAACTATTTGGTGATTTTAAAATTTTCCTTTCCAAGCTCTCAGTTTGTCACATGGCTTTGCGAGTCGCCAAGCTTCATGCCATGGAGGCAGCTCATGAAGAGGCTGGGCGGTGCTTGAGCAGTGCTGGCGTTGGAGCAGTCCCGGTAGGCAAGGGCAAAGGATCTCGCTGCGTCCTTTCTCGAGTATGTTCAAAGGTGCCCGGATGTGATGGAATCCATTCTGGAGCAAGGCAAGCGTCCGCTTGGGTAGAGAGCGCGCTTTTAATCACTGAAGAGTAGAAGATGTTGGTGCCACGACACAGCAGCGAAGCAGCCCAGCAAAATTGCATGCCAGAGCTTTGCAGATTTGGCAGAAAGTGCGAGGCTGTGGATCATGCGTTGGTTTGCGCAGGAGTGATTTCATTGAAAGCTGCACAGACAGGGGCCAACATCTCATTGTTTGGAGGGGGCTTGTTTTTTAGTTGGTGGCTTTCGTGACGACTCGTAGCTTTTGCAGGTTTTCATAGTTTCCGCTCCTAAGCCTCAACAGCCCTAAACGACAAGCCAACCCCAAGAATCAGGGGAACACACCCCAAACCCTCAGTCCCATTCCACACTCGAAATCCCCAAACATAAAATCGCTCTTATCGCATTCGTTGAGATTGCAACGATGCTTACCGTTCGCCATTTTGGCGAAAAAGGACAATATGTTCTTCACCCTCCCACCCTCACCTTTTACCTGTCCGGTCTATAGATCGCTCTCGCACCGAAAGACAGTGGACGGGGAGGACGTTCACTCCCTTTCGATGCCTTGATGTACAATCTTTGGAATGCATTTGTTAGCATTCCTTCTATTTGTGCCTGCTTTTAAGTCGCAGATGTCTGAGAGACATCACCATCGACTCCAGCGATTGAATGATCGACCAACAGGTACGGTTCCACCCATCAGAGGACATGTGGTGAAAAAGAAACAGACCGCATGCTGGTTGCAGCATCTCTCGCTGGAGGGTGGAGGGATTTGTTGTTAACGGTCTTCTTGATCACACAAAAGCTTCTATTTAAATGTTGGGTGGAACCAAATCGTAGAATCAATAGCGCGCTCCTTGCCCCAAACACGCTTTCAGGCTGCAACTTCGGCCCTGAACAGCCCCTGAGTGTTGCCCCTGCCATTGGCTGGCGCCCCATTTCTGTTGTTTCCGCCCAAACCCCGAACCAAACCCAAACCAGCGCAAACCCAAGCCCATGGCCGCACGGCTGCACGTGCCGTGCAAACGGATCAGCTGACCAACGGATCATCGGATCAGCGGATCGTAGCAGATCAGCAGATCGGGTCAGTCAACGGAACAAAGCGGCCATAGGCGACCACCCCACTCCCCACCCTAAGCTCTCCCAAAATCTCTATCCTCTATCCACCCTGCTAGACCACCCACGAACAAGCCAAACCAGTTTGGCTTTGCAATGAAGCCACCTCAAGAGCACAGTCTTGCGCGCTTTGCAGGTTGCTTTGCGACAGCCAAGCCGCTTCCAAAAAAGTGTGCTGACACGTGTAGCTGACGGCGGCCACGGTGACAGCGGACAAATTGCAGCCCGTATAGTGTGTTTTTCACGATATCTTGAATCACTCAAAGGTAGTTGCATCAACGGCAGTGGGGCGTTATGAATGCTTGAGATTAAGTTGTGCATCTCGTGCTGCCCGGGTTATGAATGAAACAAATGTGTCACCAGTGAGGGATGCTTTTGGCATTTGGCAAAGCTACATTGCTTTTGGGCCAGCACACATTGCGTTTGATGCGTTTTGCTCAAAAGGGTCCCTGCGCTAGCGAGTCTATTGGCAGATTTGCTGAGCCGTTTCGCGAAGATGCCGGCCAACTCGGAGAAGCAGCACTTGTCGATTGTGATTTGTGGTCATGTCGACAGCGGCAAGAGCACCACCACGGGACGCCTGATTTTTGAGTTGGGTGGCCTGCCCGAGCGCGAGCTCGAGAAGCTGAAGGCGGAGGCCGATCGATTGGGCAAGGGCTCTTTCGCTTTTGCCTTCTTTATGGACAGGCAGAAAGAGGAACGCGAGCGCGGTGTGACCATCTCTTGCACCACCAAAGAGTTCTTCACAGAGAAGTGGCACTACACTATCATTGATGCCCCTGGTCATCGTGACTTCATTAAGAACATGATTACGGGCGCCTCCCAAGCAGATGTGGCACTGATCATGGTGCCCGCAGATGGCAACTTCACAACTGCCATCGCAAAGGGAAATCACAAGGCCGGTGAGATTCAAGGTCAGACTCGACAGCACTCTCGACTGATCAACTTGCTGGGTGTGAAACAGATTTGCATTGGAGTGAACAAGATGGACTGCGACACCGCGGGCTACAAGCAGGCCAGGTATGATGAGATCGCCAATGAGATGAAGAGCATGTTGGTGAAGGTGGGATGGAAGAAGGACTTCATTGAGAAGAACACACCTGTCATGCCGATTTCTGGCTGGATGGGTGACAACCTCCTGAAGAAGTCCGACAACATGGCGTGGTGGAAGGGTCAGGACGTGGAGGTTGGCAGCGAGACTATCCATGTGGACACAGTCTACGATGTGCTCGACAAAATGTGCCGAGTGCCTGAGCGTCCCGTGAGTGCCCCCATGCGCATGCCCATTTCTGGAATCTACAAGATCAAGGGCGTGGGTGATGTGCTGGCCGGACGTGTTGAGCAGGGTGTGGTGAAACCTGGTGAGGAGGTTGTGTTTTTGCCAACTCACACGGCCTCCAACCCTTGCACCGGCAAGGTTTTCACAGTGGAGATGCACCACCAGCGAGTGGATTTTGCAAACCCCGGCGACAACGTGGGTTTGAACATCAAGGGCCTGGACAAGAACAACATGCCCCGCTCCGGAGATGTGATGGTCTACAAGAAAGATACCACCTTGGGCCAGACCAAGGAGTTCGATGCGCAGATCCAGGTGCTGGACATCCCCAATGAGATCAAGGTGGGCTACTCGCCAATTGGTTTTGTGCGCTGCGGCCGTGCCGCGTGCCGCGTCTCGGCCCTCAAGTGGAAGATGGGCAAGGAGACAGGCGGCAAGAAGATGGAGGACCCCCACTCTTTGAAGTCCAACGAGATGGCGCAGTGCAGCTTCCAGCCCCAGCAGCCTTTGGTGTGCGACACCTTCAAGAACTGCGAAGGCCTCTCCCGTGTTGCCTTCATGGATGGCAACGGCGTGGTGATGCTGGGCAAGGTGGTCAGCTGCGAGCGCAAGGGCGAGGACGACAAGGGTGGTAAGAAGAAGTGAGTAGCTTTGTACCGGATGCATTCGAAAATATGTACAGAGAACTCATTGCGAATTGTCGCATGAATGAAACAACGGTGCATGTGCAAATCGTGTTTGACATCGCCCTTTATCCTACTGAGTCATTGGCACACTGACCCATGCTCATTCATTGGCTGGTGGATATTGTTCCATTTGTCCTACCCGAGCGTTGACACCTGAGATGATACAGGGTAAGGCCACCACAAACTTGCTTGTGCAGCGATCTGAACGACCTAATTGGACATGCCCAAAGTACTTCATGTTTTGTTTGCACCAATCCTGCAGACATATTTGCTTGTTCGCCGCTCTTGGCTTTAGACTTTAGCCAGACATTCTTCACATATCATGCTTAGGGTCAAGGGCAGTGGTCCCCAACCTCTAGAATTGGGACTTCAGCAGAATCGTCTAGAATTGCGACTTCAGCAGAATCGCATCTAAACAGTTCTCACCAATCTAAGACGTCCTTGTTGCTTATGCCCGTTTCCGCGGATGAGGCTGCGTGGATGCATTGAGTCATGTTGCGAGAGAGCGGGGCAGCATTGACTTTTTGGGAGTGCGCCGGGCGTTTGCATTGCCAGCTTTGCCTGTTGTTTTCGTTTGTCAAGCTTTGTAAGTTGGCACAGTATCTCAAAGATATGATGCTGAGTCATATTCACAATATGTTGCCGGTGCTGCAAACACTTTGCTGCTGGTAATGTGAGCAAACATCACTGGCGAGCTCTTACACATTTCAACACACACACACACACGCACCAAAAATCCCTCCGTGCAGTTGGAATTATCTAGCTCATGATTCTGCTAGTTTTGGCTTGCTGGGGATGTGGATGCCAAGGATGTGGAGGGTTGCCAGGGATGTTTCAGGGGTGCTGGCGATGCAAGTTCCGTGTTTTGATCTCAAGATCAAAGCGGGGTGGATGGCAAGTACTCAGCTGACGCAACAGTGAGCCCAAGGGTTCCTGCAGATGAGTTTTTGAGGTACAGCCAGCAGAATGGGGCGACGAAGCCCTGGAGAAATGCTTCTTGGCATACGAAGAAGCGAAGAAGTGTAAGTGCACTGGTTGCATGCCTTCTCCGAAGCCTGCAGAACCCATTCCGTGAGGCAAACATTGGGTTGTCGCGGAGCCGGCGGTTTATGTAATGCCGAAAGCCGACCCCAAGCAGCCGTTCAAGGCTTGTGCGTGTGAACGGTCATTGGGGCAAAGAGTCGGCAAAGAGCAGTAAGACAACACATGGTGACAACACAATGATTCGAAGCGACAGGAGAGTCAATTGGTAGGGAATGCAGAGTATCACATTCCTGGTTTTGTTTTGCATGGCGTTGCTTTGTATTCGTTGCGCAACGTGTTGCCCTATTTTGCTGTGCGAGAGCTTTGCTGCTACACATGACCACATTGCCTTGCTTTGTTTGCCGTGCATCATGTTGTAGCAGCATTTCGTTGTACAGTCGTGCTTCATGCTATCTCTAGGCAAGTGTCTATTCTGCTGCCGGGACGTGACAATACCAGCGTTTGCTGGTTGGAGCATGTGCAGGTGAAGGACTTGGTCTTCATTTGGCGAGTATGTGTGTTCTTTGGATTGTGGTTTACTCATGGGATGTTTGCGTCCTGTGGCGACGAAGAGAAGCAAGGCGACGGAAGGAAGCAAGGAGAGACGGCAGGAAGGAAGGAACTAAGGAAGGAAGGAAGGAAGGAAGGAAGGGGAGGGAGGAGGGGAGGGGGGGAGGGGGGAGGGGGAGGGGGGGAGGGGGAGGGGGGAGGGGGGAGGGGGGGGGGGGGGGGGGGGGGAAGGGGGGAGGGGGAAGGGAGGAAGGGAAGGGAGGGAGGAAGCAAGGAAGCAAGGAAGCAAGGAAGCAAGGAAGCAAGGAAGCAAGGAAGCAAGGAAGCAAGGAAGCCTGGAAGCAAGGAAGCAAGGAAGCAAGGAAGCAAGGAAGCAAGGAAGCAGGGAAGCAAGGAAGCAAGGAAGCAAGGAAGCAAGGAAGCAAGGAAGCAAGAAAGCAAGGAAGCAAAAAAGCAAGGAAGCAAGGAAGCAAGCAACGAAGCAAGGAAGGAAGGAACGAAGGAAGGAAGCAAGCAAGGAAGGAAGCAAGCAAGGAAGCAAGAAAGCAAGGAAGCAAGGAAGCAAAAAGGCAAGGAAGCAAGGAAGCAAGCAAGGAAGCAAGGAAGGAAGGAACGAAGGAAGGAAGCAAGCAAGGAAGGAAGGAAGCAAGGAAGCAAGGAAAGAAAGGAAGGAAGGAAGGAAGGAAGGATGCAAGGAAGGAAGGATGCAAGCGGAAGGGAGCAAGGAAGGAAGCCAGGAAGGAAGCAAGGAAGGAAGCAAGGAAGGAAGCAAGGAAGCAAAAGAAAGCAAGAAGCACAAAGTAAAGAAGCAAGAAAGCACAGAAGCAAGAAGTGAAGGAAGCCAGAAGAAAGGAAGGACTCAAGCAAGGAAGGGCAAGGAAAGGAAACGACAGGGAGGGGAAGGGAAGGGAAGGGAAGGCAACGGGAGGGAAGATAAGGGAAGGCAAGCAAACAAAACGGAAGAGAAGGGAAGAGAAGAGAAGGGAACGAAACGAAAGGGAATCAACCCTAAACTTTCAACCAAGCTTACCCTACCGCCCCTTCGGCCCAAACCAATTCAAAAACAATCATGAAGCCACTCCAAAACCAACCCAAGCCAATCCACGTCAACTCACCCCAGGCAGAACGATCCTGAAGTAGCCCCAAGCCCAGCCCTCACCGGCCTCAGCCACCTGATTCAACCCTCCGCCAGTCACCAGTAGTGTCAGTCGACGGCGACCTCCAACACCCATGTGTGTTTCCGCCGTGACCTGCGCGCTCCTTGCTCGAATATTTCCCTGCTTGCCAACCCTCAAAGGGCTGCAGCACCACCTGAGGTCCTCCTGCTTCTGCCACTTCTTCCCGTTGCGTTGGGGCGGCGCTGTCATTGGCAGTGAAGGGTTCGTGCTGGCAAAGCTACAATTTCTTGCAACGCGTGGCCCTTGAGAATGCCAAGTACAACGGCCCGACACTTGCCTATCTATTTCGCAATTGACAGCTCCCAAAGGAATCCAACGCCTTGCGAAACCAATTGCGGTTCAAGCGATTTGGTGGACGCTTGCTCCGGCCTTGCCTCTGCTGCTGCTCTTCAGCTGCGAAGAAGGCCCACGATGTGTTCAGGGCAGCGGCTGTGCGAAGAGGAGCAAAAGGACAACTGTAGAGTAGCAAAAGGACAACCGTGTGGCGACGCAAAGCGGCCTTCGCACAATTCATTTCACAGGCTTTTGCGCAACTGCTCAGCCTGCAAGGGTGGCTGCCACGGTTCTCAAGACAACATTTGTCTTGTCTTTGTGAAGATGTTCCAGCAATTTGCCCCTAAGAATGCTTGGGATTGCGTTAAGAGTGTCCCTCAGAAGCAGTTTCGTGCATGGCAGGGAGGGACGCTTTTTGGGTTTGCCCGCGTGCTGGACTTGAGAAGCCAAAACTTGCAAACGTGGCGATTTCTTCATCGAGTTGAACGACGCTGGCGCCCGTGTAATGTTGATCGGCTTGTTCGAGGGTTTTGTTGCCGCATTCTTCCAGGATAAGCTTGCAGTCAAAGGCCACGGAGAAATTCTGGAAGGAGATGGTCTTCGCAGAGAAGGCTGCTCCTAGAAACGCCTTCTAGCATTGGTTTGCTTCCGCGCTGTCAGGTGTTCGATGGCTGCGCGTTGAGCACGAAGGAAGGGAGGCGCAATGATGATTAGGACATTTGCCAGCCACCATTCCCAATATTGCAATGCAGGGCCGGCCTTGCGCACAGCACGTAGTCCATCGTGAGCAATCCATTTTTCTTGATGCAGGCTTGGATTCTGATTGATGGCAAGGCTGTGGGAGTGAACAGATGTTTCTTAGAGCCAGTGCCAGGCTGAGCAAAAAATGTGCTTGGTGTGTGTGTGGGTGTCGCACCGCCGCTGGCGTATGATTGTTTGCATCTTTGACCAAGCAGCATGATACTACCCTCTGAAAGGTTTTGCCGTTCTGCTACGGCAAAACGTTTCAACTTCCATTGCTCCTAAACACACCGTTTTTGTTGCTGCACGTGCCTCAAACTAGGAACGCAGCGCGGGTCATACCATAGGCGGATCACTGAGCCGTTTCGCGAAGATGCCGGCCAACTCGGAGAAGCAGCACTTGTCGATTGTGATTTGTGGTCATGTCGACAGCGGCAAGAGCACCACCACGGGACGCCTGATTTTTGAGTTGGGTGGCCTGCCCGAGCGCGAGCTCGAGAAGCTGAAGGCGGAGGCCGATCGATTGGGCAAGGGCTCTTTCGCTTTTGCCTTCTTTATGGACAGGCAGAAAGAGGAACGCGAGCGCGGTGTGACCATCTCTTGCACCACCAAAGAGTTCTTCACAGAGAAGTGGCACTACACTATCATTGATGCCCCTGGTCATCGTGACTTCATTAAGAACATGATTACGGGCGCCTCCCAAGCAGATGTGGCACTGATCATGGTGCCCGCAGATGGCAACTTCACAACTGCCATCGCAAAGGGAAATCACAAGGCCGGTGAGATTCAAGGTCAGACTCGACAGCACTCTCGACTGATCAACTTGCTGGGTGTGAAACAGATTTGCATTGGAGTGAACAAGATGGACTGCGACACCGCGGGCTACAAGCAGGCCAGGTATGATGAGATCGCCAATGAGATGAAGAGCATGTTGGTGAAGGTGGGATGGAAGAAGGACTTCATTGAGAAGAACACACCTGTCATGCCGATTTCTGGCTGGATGGGTGACAACCTCCTGAAGAAGTCCGACAACATGGCGTGGTGGAAGGGTCAGGACGTGGAGGTTGGCAGCGAGACTATCCATGTGGACACAGTCTACGATGTGCTCGACAAAATGTGCCGAGTGCCTGAGCGTCCCGTGAGTGCCCCCATGCGCATGCCCATTTCTGGAATCTACAAGATCAAGGGCGTGGGTGATGTGCTGGCCGGACGTGTTGAGCAGGGTGTGGTGAAACCTGGTGAGGAGGTTGTGTTTTTGCCAACTCACACAGCCTCCAACCCTTGCACCGGCAAGGTTTTCACAGTGGAGATGCACCACCAGCGAGTGGATTTTGCAAACCCCGGCGACAACGTGGGTTTGAACATCAAGGGCCTGGACAAGAACAACATGCCCCGCTCCGGAGATGTGATGGTCTACAAGAAAGATACCACCTTGGGCCAGACCAAGGAGTTCGATGCGCAGATCCAGGTGCTGGACATCCCCAATGAGATCAAGGTGGGCTACTCGCCAATTGGTTTTGTGCGCTGCGGCCGTGCCGCGTGCCGCGTCTCGGCCCTCAAGTGGAAGATGGGCAAGGAGACAGGCGGCAAGAAGATGGAGGACCCCCACTCTTTGAAGTCCAACGAGATGGCGCAGTGCAGCTTCCAGCCCCAGCAGCCTTTGGTGTGCGACACCTTCAAGAACTGCGAAGGCCTCTCCCGTGTTGCCTTCATGGATGGCAACGGCGTGGTGATGCTGGGCAAGGTGGTCAGCTGCGAGCGCAAGGGCGAGGACGACAAGGGTGGTAAGAAGAAGTGAGCACTAGAATGCAGTCTGATTCTCGGCAGGTATGTGATGCGCGCTGGCAAAAGTCTACATCACTTTGCTTTCTACTGCAGGAGCTTTATTGCTGTGCTTGAGATGAACGCTTGCACGAGTCATCTGCTTTGCGTCCTTCAAGTCCTTCAAGCCATGTTCGGATGGTGTTGAGTTGAGACGTAGGATTGTGGCCTTCCCCAGTTGGTATACTTTGCATATGCATGCCTAGAGACATGCATGTACATGTACGTGATTATGTATATACATATATATATACACATATATATATATTCTCGTACACACTGTTTCAGTTGATGAAATGCCTTCCGGCCCTTTGGACAATCTCCCTTGGCATTGCCAGCCAGGATCTTACATGGCTTTGGCTGAGTCTGTTCTTGATCATTGCTTGATGTACATTGCATGCGGCACCCGCAACTGAAGGAGATTAGTTTGACATGCATACACCACGCATTGCAAGCAAGGTTGGTCGCGCTTCAATTCCTGGGGCTGCTTGGTGATTCACGGCAGAGGCCTGCCAGTCAAACTTGTCCGATGCGTGCGGTTGCCACTTGCCTGAGCTGGGTGCAAACACAGCTTTCGGACAGGACCATCAGATTGGAAACCGGGGTCAGCATTGCGGAGATATGGCTGTCAGAAAAGCACAGGTGAGAACCTCGGTCGTGCGTAACTTGCCTGAGTCTTTGCTGACCAGCCCATGAAGGCTTTCGTTGTCCAGAAGTCACTGTGTGAAGCGCCATGAGGCACAGCGCACGTCTGGAATTCCTCAAAGCAATCCACAGCTGACTGCAACTCGGATGGCAAGAACAATCCACAAGCACAACACGCAACGCTGCAACATTTAGAACAACCGTAGAATTCAACGGGTATTGTTAAAGGGCCCAAAGTGACCCTCGACCTTGACCTGGGTCGCTAGGCAGAGTTGTGCTGCCCATGCCCACGAGCTTCGGCCCATTCGGCCCATTCGGCCCATTCCAGAATTTCAGCACCTTCGGCCTGGGCTCCAAAGCCGACGCTACCGACGGTGCCGACGGTGCCGACGGTACCGACGGTACCGGCCGACGTACCGCTCGAAAGGGCACCACTGAGGCTGGGAAAGTCAGTCCGGGTGGAGCTTGGAGGAGCCACTTGTCTCAACATCAGCGCTCAGTGCTTGGAGGGGCAAGTTTTAAGAGAGGCATGTAAGGAACCTAATAGCACTCGTGTCGACAATCGGCCTGAACTGCGTAAAGCCAAGCGCTGAGTTGTGTCGATCTCCAGCAGCCTTTTGCATACTGACTTTTGCACAGTGCGTCTGATCCGTTTTCGTCCATCAACTGAAGGTAAGGTCTTGTCTTGAATTGAGGTTTGGGGGCTTCACTGGAGGTCATTGCGGTGCGGTTCTTTGCAGGACTCTTTGGGGTCAAATCACTGGCACTTTGCATCCAATTTAGATCGCAGGCTTAGAGCAGTAACATGCAAAATATTTGGTGCGATGTGCAAGAGCTTTTGCGCGATAAGGCCCTCAGAAGGACATGGTGTCGACGAGGTAGAGGCCGTGAATTGTCGGCGCCATGTTACTTTCGGAGTTGCAGGAGGTGGCTGGTCATTGCTTGGCGACTGTTCGATTGATTGACTGGTTGTTCCAGAGAACATGTCATTGCGCCATGCAGGTCATTGGCCTGGGCATCAATGCTCCCTCACGGTTTGTTGGCGCCTCAACGTTGAAGCCATCACGCGTTCATTGGTGTGATAATTTTGCCTTGCAAGGAACCAACATCTTGGGCAAGGCTCAGATGCATTGATGTCGAATCATGGTACCCTTTCAGAGGTGAACTGGAGATGGTTAGCTTGCAGGTGTCGAAGCTGTTTACATCTTTTCTGCTCAAGCTTGGTTCTTGGCAATCTAGGTGCTGTCACAAAAAGAAGAAAAAACAGGCATTGCGCGCAATGAGCGACTGCGCACTGAGCACACACCGAGTGGACTGAGTACGAACCGAGTACGCACCGAGTGGACCAAGTCCACCGAGTGCACCGAGTACGCGTGCAGTGCACCCAGTACGCACCCAGTGCACCCAGTATGCACTGAGTGCACCGAGTACGCACCGAGTACGCACCGAGTACGCCGAGTCCGGACCGAGAACGCGCCGAGTACGCACCGAGTGCACCGAGTACGCACCGAGTGCGTGCGGTCTTGGTGCGTACTCGCTCTCGGCGCGTACTCGCTGCACTCGGTGCGTACTCGGCGCACTCGGCGCGTACTCTGTGCGTACTTGGTGCACTCGTACTCGGTGCGTACTCAGTGCGCTGTGGGCTCGGTGCCTACTCGGTGTGCTCAGTGCGTACTCGATGCACTCGGGGTGCTCGGAACGCGCTCGGTGCACTGGGTGCGTACTCTGTGCGCTGGAAGAGCGTGCTCGGTGCACTCGGTGCGTGCTCGGTGCAGTCGGTGCGCGCTCCGTGCGCTCGGTGCCTAGTCGGTGTACTAGGTGCGGCGCTCGACGCACTCGGTGCGTACTCTCGGTGCGTACTTGGTGCTGACTCGGTGCGTACTCCGTGCGTGCTGGGTGCATACTCGGCACGCGCTTGGTGCACTCGGTACGTTCTCGGTACGTTCTCGGTACGTACTTGATGAACTCAGTGCACTCGGTGCGTACTCGGTACGTGCTCGGTGCGTACTCGTTGCGTACTCGGTGCATAATGTTGGACTCTGTTTAGTGTGACCCCCCCCCCCCCCCTGGAACAGTGGAACCAGTCGGCGGGACTCTCTTTAGGGAGATCCTGGGGGATCTGGGAGGGACAGTACTTACTTTAGTATTGCCAATTCTACTTTAGTATTGCCAAGGCCCCCTCTCAGATTCCCAGGACTGACTTTAGTATTGCCAATTCTACTTTAGTATTGCCAAGGCCCCTCTCAGATTCCCAGTACTGACTTTAGTGTTGCCAATTCTACTTTAGTATTGCCAAGGCCCCTCTCAGATTTCCAGTGCTTGCAAATGGTTGAGATGAGCTGTCCCCTTAGCAATTTTCTTGCTCTTGCTTTTGCTTAGCTCCAGCCCGTGTTCACTTTCTGCTGGCTAAGTGTCTCAGCTGCATTTGTTTAGCTTGATTTTAGTTTAAATAGACATCCCTCAGCCCAGGCCATGAAGCAGCACCTCAAGAGCGTGGTCTTCATCAGCTTCCTGTTGCTGAGTGGCATCATTGCTCAGAGCCACTGTGCTGCAATAGAGGGGGGGAGGAGGGAGGGGAAGGGATGGGAAGGGAAGGCTTGAGTTTCCTAAGAGGGCTTTATTTTGAGAGGGTTTAGTTTCAAGGGTTTCTCTGAGAGGGCTTCAAGTTTGAA